TGTATCTTAATTGTAAATTGTGAACATTCACATTATATTTTGGTATGAGTTTTTTTTTTATATATTTTTAAAATTTTTTTTTAATTTTTTTTGAAAGTTAGTTGTATGTTTATTATTTTTGCTATTATGCTTGTTGGTTGAACAATCATTTTTGTTACCATTGAACAATCAAAATAGTCGATTTTCACTTTTTTCAATTTTATTTTATGTTTTCACGTTGTAGTGTGAATATTCACATTGGTATAAATTTATTTTTTAAAAAACTAGTTGTATATTAATTGTAAATTGTGAACATTCGAATTTTGTTTTGGTATAAGTTTTATTTTTTCAAAAGTTAATTGTATGTTTGTTGTTTTTGTTACTGTATTTGTTAGTTGAACAATCATTTTTGTTACCATTGAACAATTAAAATAGTCGATTTTCATTTTTTTTCAATTTTGTTTTATGTTATTACGTTGCAGTGTAAATGTTCACATTGGAATGGATTATTTTTTTTAAGTCTAGTTATATGTTAAAATTGCAAACATTCACATTGTATTTTGGTATGAATTTTATTTTTTCAAAAGTTAGTTGTATGTTTGTTCTTTATTATGAACATTCATATTGTACTTTAGTATGTGTTTTATTTTTTCAAAAGTTAGTTGTATGTTTGTTGTTTACTGTGAACATTCACATTGTATTTTGATTTTCATTCAGTTTTTGTTGCATTATTTTTAAAATTTTCACATTATAGAAAGATCCAAAATTCATAATTTGAGATTTTCTCCATGGGAGAGATTTTTTTCTTAGAATGAGAGATTTTTTTCATGGAATGAGCGAAAGATTCTCTTTACAATGATGAAGAGATTTTTTTCTATGAAATAAGGGACTATTGTTAGTTTTTATTGTGTATTAATTTCAAAATAGAAACATGTGCAAAAAATTAAAAAGGGTGATTTGGTCATATTACATTAAACAAGGCTAAATGAAATACTCAAAAAGAATATGGGGTTAGATGGAATAAAATATTTAGAAAGAGGATTTATCAAAAATTGCCCCCCTGTCCCCCCTTTTTCCTCTAAACTATAAATATTGGAATCATTATAAAAAAATAATAAATTATTAGATTTAAAAAAAAATTATATATAGTACAGATATACTTAAATTTATTTGAAAATAAATTTGTGTTTAATTATGGAATAGAGAGAGAATCTAGATATAATGTTTAATTTTTATTTTATGTTAGTCTTAATTTTAGGTTTATATAGATCAGATCAGTTGTGAAAGATATTAATAATATACATTTTAGTGAGAGAGTTTCTTCTTAATTAGATTTATTTTGAGAGAGAGAGAAGATTGTATGAGATTTAAATTCTTTTTAAATAAAGGCTTATTTTGAGAGGGAGAGGGAGGTTGAGAATTGTGTACTTTTTTTCTTTTGTCTTTTTGGGTATTGACCGGTAATATATTTGCATTAAATAATTTTAAAAGTTAATATTTATGTCTTTGGAATAGCCAATAGATGTTTTAATTTTTTTTTTTATAAAAATTAAAAATTAGATTAAGGTTAAGATCATCTAAAATGAAAAGTCACTTTAGTATAATATATACTATATAGATAGGTAAATTATAAGACTTAGGAAATAAATAAATATTAGGGAAGAGATTTTAGGAACTTATAATTCATTTTTTTTTTTTAATTCTATAGTTACTTTGTTAGCCAATAGTAATATTTTTAAAATTACAAAAATTAGCAATTTTAGGTTTTTTTTTTTTAATCTGTAGTTACTTTGTTAGCCAATAGTACTATTTCTAAATATTTTTAAAATTATAAAAATTATGGTTTGACGTTCTTTTTAATCTATAATGTTTTTTTAAAATATATAACTACTTTGTTATGAGATGATTTTTAATCTATAATGTTTTTTTTTTAAAATATATAATTACTTTGTTATGAGATGAAATTTGTGTGTGTGTGTGTGTGTTTTTATGGGTAATTTTTTTTAGAGGAATTGACCAGTAAATCCCATTTTGTGGACTTGTAATCCATAAGGTCCTAAATATTTTTTTGATGGGTGGTCCCTTAATTTGTTTGTTGACTGTTTTGTCACTGTTAATATTATTGGTTGAAAATTGGCGTGGGTTTGTATAGGGAAGGTGAATGAGTGTTTGTGTGTCACGTTGATCGGAAAAGCATACTAATACCTATTTTAATTTAGTAGGTTCGTAACATGCGCAGAAATAGAATGTGGTTACGTCGTAAGTGTTGTTTTGTGCATGACGTGAACACGCGCAATAAGGCACACTGAACTGGTTTCGGATTTCCATTTCAAATTTCTCACAACCCGAGATCATAACCAAAATCATGAGTTCCCATTTCCACAATTCAAGTTCATACAATCTTTTCTTCCTAAATCTAGGAATTGCAAGGCTACAAGCTAAAGCACCAATAATCAAAATCAAACTCACCAATTGAATCATAAACCATGTACTGAACTTCATCATCTTGTACTTTTCAGGCAAATCTTCATCCAAAAAAGGATCGTCCTCGTCGATTTCACTGCTTGTGCCCAAAAACCTAGATTTCATCATCCTCTAAGATCTCTAATCTTGCTCCGGCAGGTATATCAATCTCGACTTCGTCTTCGCATTCAACAACCCGATCCTTTTTTTTTTTTTTCCAATTGTTGTTGCCATGGGTTTTTGAAATTCAAATACCTGTGACCAAATCCCACAAACGTAATTTGTAGGATTGTATTCGAAATAGTTTTCAGATCAATTTGGTGTGGGTAAGTTGTTCATTGTTGGGTTCACGTTATAGATTGAGTACGTGGTGTGATTCCGAATTCCAAAATCCACGTTATAGATAGAGTGAGTGGGTTCACGTTATAGTTGTTCATTGGGTTCACGTAAGTTGTTCATTGTTGGGTTCACGCAGTTATGGTGTGATTCCGAAACCACGTGATAGATGGAGTGAGTGGGGTTGATGTCAACTACAACATTGTTGGACTGTTACACAGAAAATTTTGTCACCGAAAAAAAATAGATTGATTGTTGCACTGTTGGCGTCAAACACAGGTATGAATGTTTCTCCGTTCTTGTTCCACTGTCGGTGCGATAACAGGGACATTGATTTGTGCACTGGTGTGAATGTGTGGGAATGATGAGGGATGACTTTGTAATACAAAATTCCGGACATACCTGTGTTCAACGGTGGTGTCGACGTTAATTGCTGCACTTCCTGACTGTTACACAATACAAATGCACTTACAAACAAAAACCCTAGTTTGAAAACTTTATCAACAAATATTCACCCCTCCCACCTCTCAAGAAAGTCGGGATTACACATACCCAAACAAATATAACATTCCCATAACTCACGTGAGGGCATATCGTCAAGCAACTAACCACAAACATTCAAAAAATGACTTTTTAGTAAGCAATCACAACGCAATAGGACTTGTTGAATGAACAAAAAATCAGAGGGACCAAACGGATCATAATTCAGTCATATAGGACTTTCCGATAAATTCCACTTTTTTTTAATGTATAATTTACTTTGTTATCAGATAAGACTTAGGGAAAAAAAATATTAGGGGAAAGATTTTAGGAACTTGTAATTTAAAATTTTAGATGGTTTTTTTTTTTTTTTCTTTAATCTATAATTACTTTGTTAACCAATAGAATTTTTTTTAAATCACAAAAATTAGTAATTATGGAATGAGACTTTGGAAATCTCACAAATCTTTTCACTAGAAACTCTATTTTTCTTATATAATATATAGATAGATAAATAATATATTATCTTCCTCTTAAATTATTTATTTCACACAAAAAAATCAGAACTTAAAAATTGTTTATTTTCAAATTTTAATTTTTTTCACAAATTAAAAGTATTGATTTTTAATTGGTGGTTTTTATTTTTTATTTTTAAACAATGATACATTATTGCTAAATTCTTATTTTTCCGTAACCAATTGATAGAAATAACATTAGTTATATCTAATTGTAAAATTTAGGATGAATTATACTTTCCAATTGCATGTTTTTTACATTGTTTCCTAAAAAAAATCTTTTACTTTAATCTCAAGAGGCATCCAATGAAGAGAAAGTTCAGGTATGTTTTAAATTTCTCATTTGAAATGGTCTAACTATGAGGAAAAGTTCCTTTTGCAAAATCCTACCCAGTCGCCAAACACTGCAAATTCCTCACTGCCATTGCCCACCATCCTGTGTCTTCACCACTCTTGCGGCTCCCCACCCGCCACCCTTTCTTTGGGATTCAAGAGTAATAAACGAAACAAAAAACTCAAACTCAAGCTCGCGTTCGGTTCGTTAAAACGTTTATTCAAACTCAATTCGTTCGGTAAATAGACCAAACTTAAACACATTTTCGAACTCGTTAAAATTTTCAAACCAAACTTGAACAGTCAATTACTTATTTGATTCATTAAAATTATATAAAAATACCAAATTACTCGAGATTAGCTCGACGAAAACTCTTTTGAGATTGGCTCTTGAAAGTTTAACGAACCAAACTTGAACAGTGACTGTTCGGCTCGTTTAACAGATTGCAGTTGCACCCGTCCACAAATTACACTTTGTGTAAGTGTGGTTTGTTACCTGTACAAGTGACAAGTGTAACAACCCAAACAATTTGTATTCTCATCCCATGCCCCAGTTGTACTTGGGCCAAGCACAGATTGCAGTTGCACCCGTCCACAAATTACACTTTGTGTAAGTGTGGTTTGTTACCTGTACAAGTGACAAGTGTAACAACCCAAACAATTTGTATTCTCATCCCATGCCCCAGTTGTACTTGGGCCAAGCACAGATTGCAGTTGCACCCGTCCACAAATTACACTTTTGGCGCATGGGACACTAGCAAGAAGCAAGTTTCGCAGCAGTGGGGATTGGGACGTCGACCAAACCTGCCCAAATCCATCAATTTGCTCCTACTCCTAGGCAGTTCTGCAATAAACAAAATGACTCCAGCAGTACACAGTTTTGAAGGCAAAAAACAAAGCTTAAAATTTAAAACACAACCAGACCCAAATGACATATGTGCAATACACACCTAAAAATATTTACAATCTAAGACCATAGAACACAGTACTAAGCAAAATCATATAGAGGACTTCTTAGCAGAATGAAAATATTTATGCTAATGTTCTATACAACATTTTTGAGTACAGAATCATCAACTCCAAGTGATTTGGGCAAGTCCCTGGACCAAAACTCCACTTCTGCCTTAGCCTTGGCAAGCGATTCTTCGAGTTCACGAACCTTTGCTCGAGCCACTTTGAGAGTGCTTTCACACAAATCAACAAAGGCAAGTGATTCCGTGTGTTTGTTCACCCTCTTTGCTTCATCCAGCCTCTGCTTCAGCCATGATAAGTCCAACCCAACTTGCTCAAAGTCCTCAATTGAAATTGCAGCCAAGCGTAGTGCTTCCTCATCATGGACCATAGTGTTTGACATCGACTCAATGAATGAAGCAAACGACTCAAGTAGCATTGTTTGTAGAATGTGACCTTTCATTGATAATCTGGTGAAAGTGTCATTGTGAAGGCCGTGGATCCTTTTGAGTAACAGTGATGCCTCAGAAGAAACCCAGTACGACAAAAATCTGACTTTGCCGATATTGCATCCTCTGGCAATGTCTGAGGCTTGGTCACTTGAAGCATGTCCACCAGCTTGAGTAATGGTAGAAGTGGCACAAACTGGGGTTGCTTTGCTTGAGCCCTGATTGCCCAAAATAGGTTGGGCAGCCTGCTGAGGAGGCGAGGTCCCGGAGAAGCTTGTGTAAAGAGTGGATTCAGAATGGACTCTCTCTGCTTCCTTATAGACAGAAGGAGCCTCTGTCAAAACAAGACCTTGCCAAACTGACTCAACAGAGCTAACTTCTTCTCCAGAAATGGCGGTAGTGTCAACTTCTACATTTCCCAAGTTATTGTCCTGGGATGGATGCTGAGACTCCGCTTGACAACCACTCTCCTTTGAATCACGTGACGGAACGGCAATATCAGTTTCAACTATAATAGTATCTCCAAGAAACAATCTCTACTGGGATCAAAAAGTTCACCAAGAGGTACGAAATACGGGATCTAAAGCTGACAAAATTGACTTTTTTTTGTTTTTTCTAAACTTCAAAAAAAATAAAGAATAAAGTGAGAACAATGTGGTGCAAAGATTAAAAACTGAAACAAATACAAAATGGAATAACCGTTGATTTTATTTTATTTTTTGTTATTTACTCCGTTCAAATAGTTCGGAGACATAAGAATTTGGATATTTAAAAGAAAGTCACGTATGTTTGCTTTTGAATTCATATTATAGTATTGAATTGTAACTGTAGAGATGAACATAGGAGTGAAAATCATTTAGTCAAACTCCTAATATTTTAGTGTATTAGGCAAACACGTTTTAGTAGTTGGTCAAATATTTTATTCCTAGAAAATGACTGAATGCATAAACTCAAATGTATATGTGTTAGGTTTATTTCATGTCAGGATCTCAACATGAGAGAATTTGAGGGATATGGCTCGGGCTTCTGCACAAAGCCGCAATATGCCATTGGAGGGTTGCTCGATTCAGCCCATGCACTGGTGGAGATTATAGCATTTCCTAATTGTAGATTCTCACTGGCTTCTCAAATGAGTATCGATTCTGCACATTGAGACAGTCACTACAAGTTCTAATTGCCTTAAAAGGTGTGAACTAATACGTTATTAGCAATGTCAAGGTAGAAAATTGTAAAAAAATGCCAACTCCATAGCCATGTTGCACAAAGCCGAATTAATAACATCTCTCCTGGTTTTTGGACCACATACTGCCTTAAACCTGTAGATATGCTATTTAACGTAAGTAATTTCAAAGTGTTTATATACCTGATTGGCCACATATGACCTTTTAGGAGTATTGTCAGAGTGTTCCAACCCGAGGTACTGTTCCCAAGTACCATAAACATCCCTTCTCTATAAAGAACAAAATGTCAAAATTAGAAGAGAAGAGAAATTAACCACCTCAACTAAGTGTGCATGCATGTGTATGAGCATGGATATGTGCACGTGTGTGTGTTGAGAGAGAGAGAGAGAGAGAGAGAGAGAGAGAGAGAAAATTCATGTGCACCTGAAAACGACTAGAAACGATGTCCGAGTCCTGAAGGTACTTGAGGCGACCCAAAGATAAAAATGCAAAATTCCACTGAGAAGATGGGGTAAACATTAATTTCAGAAAGATCACAACAATAAAGATTAACCTAGCACATATACTGTCAGACAATGCTGCTTTGTAATGTAGAAAGACAAGGCCATGAGCCAAGTAAAATAGTTAATAATTATACCTTTGAAAACTCCTCATCCGGAACCTGCAATTTCTTCTGTATGCGTTCTTTGATTTCAGTCAACGTCTCACCCTCATGGATGACAAGGAAAAAAGGTTTCCCAAAATTCTGGACCTGCTGTTTAAAATAAAAAGAAGAAAGATGAAGAAAAATAATACCATTGTACAACTGAATCTCAGTTTACAACTTGCAGTGAATTTAAATTTTTATTTAAAATATATATATATATATATAGAATCCTCAAAACGCAGTATAATTACTAGCTAAGCAATAATAAAACAGGGATAAACAAAATCTTTAACAATGCCAACAAGTATAGAAACAACAACAAAAAGATTGATTTGCACAAAACCATGATATTGTGATGTCAAAAATGACAAAACACAGCAAACATTATTATGTTCTTTATTTCCACCCAAGGTTCTGAAAAGCGGTTGCGGTCGCCGTAACGGTAGCGGTGGCGCGGTTGCAGTTGCGGAGTGTAAAGGCCGTAACGTAACGGTTGCGGTAACCGGAACCGTGAATTTTTTTATTTTTCGTACAATTTAAAAAAAACTTACCAATACGTATATTTTTTTTCCATGATCATATTTATTGGGTTTTAAAATAAATATTGATAAAGCATTTTAATAAATTTTATAAGTTTGATCGCAATATATTTCAATATTTTTAAACCCATCATTATAAACTGAGTTTTTTACATTTTATTTGATAATTAATAACTTTTATATATCAAAAAAAATCAATCACTAATTTATATATAAGATAAACAATGACAAAAGTAAGAGAGTAAATAAAAGCCTAAATATAGTATATATCTATATACATATAATATATATTAATTCAAGCTAAATAGATAATACCACACTTTATATTATTATGTTTATTGTTCAAACCAATAATATAGGTTAGACACACA